AAAATTGTTTCTTCATAATGTTTTGCCAAATTTAATGTTCAAGCATAGTTTACAAATCAACACATAGTTTTGTTAATGAACTTTCAATTCAGTATGTCATTATGCCAATGAATTATATACTTTACATAAATATTACTCAAATCTTTTTGGTCCAATAATTGGTTTTTACTTCGCGTGTTGTGGTTTTACCACAAGCTAAACACGTTATAAACCCAACTTTAAACAATATTTTTACTAAATGCTCTATTTTTGCACATCAACTACTGATTTTCCTCTAGTAGTATACCATAAGAAAAAACATAAAATTGCAAGATATGTCTAAAAATCCCTTAATTGACATCAGCACACATAAATAACTGAAAACGAAACTCGCCAAAAGAAACTTCAAGGTTTACAATAGAATGATAATTCCATTTCTAAATCAGGGCTTTAATCTATGCAACTTCATACTATAATCATAAATTTTTTATCGAAAACTCAACTATATCTACATACGATGTCGACGTTCCTAACTAAATTAGCCACTTCATTTTCATGGATTTCAAGTTGTTTGGCATTTCAAGTGTTTTACGTAACACTCCTCCTCACACATTATAAACCTACAGATTTCCATTCTTCTCTGCAACACTAATCCAACAATGGTGTATTTACAACACGAATGCTGCTATTGTCTGTATGACTCATACCCATCATGGGGAATCAGGTTCATCACTAAACTGCTGGCAAGGTGTTCTAGTTTTCTACGAAATAAGTACAATGTAGTGATTGACATTGTTTCAGATTATATTCATGTATTGGTATTACGGAGTTAGTTATTTTAAGCAAAAGATTCCTTATGTATGATAATTAGATGGTTTGCTAGCTATTATAGTTTTTTGTAACCACCCGCGCTATTTTTTGTATCTTAAAAAGTAGCTATTTATTGTATTTTTTTTATACACGTTATTGTGTGCCATATAATTTCTGTGTTTACAATAACAAAATGTCAGAAGCAGTGGATTTTTACTTTCATTAAAAGAGGGTTGTAATGATTGCTTTTTACCGGTTTATTCAAAGACCTTACTAATAATGTAGATTTTCTTTCTTGGGACGTGAACAATTCTTACGGAACTACACCCCAAAAGACACGGACGTGTCCCGTGTGGACGTGTGGGACGTGGACGTGTTTCTATCTACGTAAGGGGCTAAAGATTTTTTTTTTCAAATCGAAAAAGGTTTACAAAAAAAGAATGCTTGGTACGGGTTTTCAAACTTTGTGGATTACTAACCGCAGTTGTAAAAGTAAAGAGTAACATAATGGCTTCAAAATAAACTCAAATTACTAAAAATACAAAAATACGAAATTTACACACTTTAAAATGTTTAACGTATTAAGAGCTTACGTTGCTAACTTTTCTCCAAACTTTAACTTCACTCTCACCCTTCTTAAGTATTTAAAACACTACACAACACTGACACTAACACCACATCACGCTCCGAACTACGAAACACGAAACACTATCGATTATTTCCCGCGGAATACCGCCGACACCCGCCACGCCGGGAGGTTATCAGGTGTAACGACAAACGCAGCTGTTCGACTGATAGCGATACCTAGCTGACCGACGCACGCACGCGCACACCCACGCATCAGCTGTTCCATTGTTGCCGAGTGATAAACTGATATCACTAAGTGGGTGAGTGTATTCACAACGGTGTGAATGCGCCGGACTACTTCGAGTGACTGAAAATCGCTAGGGAAATTAAATTACTGCGCTCGTGCGACGCGAAAGTTGTTTAGGTTTGTTCTTTGTACGCGTGAAAATCTCAGTTTGTTAATGTAGAAGGACTAGAAGGATAGTGTAATTTAAGTTAAAAATGTATGTTAGGCCTACTACTTTGACTATGGGTATTACCATTGACTATATATACCTACAGGTATACAGGGCAAATAAAAAGTCAAGACCCCCCCCTCTAATATTTTTCCAAGTAAATATGCAGAGATATCCTTTTGGTGATCGTGCAATCTTAGCAGGAAGTTTCATTTAATGGTTTTGAAATGTTTGAGTGTCCCCCCAAATGGGGGGATTTGGGGGGCAACTCAAATATTTTAAATGTAAACCCCCTTCAAGTGACACCTCATTTTGAAGTGATTACAAAAACCTATAGAATGGTGAAAACCAGAGTTCGCTATCTCTTCTCTATCCAAAATGGTAGCCAATATTACCATTATGAACCAATTTTACCATTCATTTTCCACAACATTTGACGGGCTACCATTTTAGATAGAGAACAAATAACAAATAAGAGATAGCGACCTCTAGTTTTCCCCTTAAGTTTTTGTAAACACTTCAAAATGAGGTGTCACTTGAAGGGGGTTTACATTTAAAATATTTGAGTGGGCCCCCAAATCCCCCCTTTTGGGAGGATACTCAAAAATTTCAAAATCATAAAATGAAACTTCCTGCTATGATTGCATGACCACCAAAAGGATATCTCTGTATATTTACTTGGAAAAATATTAGAGGGGGGTCTTGACTTTTTATTCACCCTGTATATAGGTATATATAGTCAATGGTATTGCTACGAAATAAACCTCTCACTCCTCTGTTTTTAAAAACTGAAGTGGCAATAATATTGTTGAGCCTCTGGAATGAATAGTGAGCTGAATTCTTTTACGAGTTCTGTCATTTACACCGACTTTTTGACTGAGTCAAAGGGCAAAAACAGCCCTATTTCGCATCTTTTATGCCACAAAAACAGCAGTTGATACAGTCATAGATAAATCATACTCCCTTAGTAGATTTCTCATCCTCATGGAACAGCTGAAGCCAATTTTATTGTTAGTTCTGTCCGGTGCACTGTAGAGGTCGTGTTATTGTTTAAAATTAGTTTTCTTGCTAGTTCAGCCATTTAAAACCTCGTTTAACCAAATAAAACTATATAATCAGAAACAATAACTCGAATCCTAGTTATATAACCAGACAGCAAAGCACAAATCATTAAATTAACCCTAAAATAATAGAAACAACATTTTGTTGACACTAACAGAACACCCAGTGTCATCGGACATGAACTAGACACGAAAAACGAGCTTCAAATTTTACAATGGGATGAGATGTCTACTCGTTGGTTAGTATACAATTGTTTTTTTGTTGTTGTTGTTTTTAGCTGTAGGAACAATGTTCATATTTATTGGTTGAAAGAATATTTTTATCAACTGACATCAAACAAAACAACCTAACAGGCTTTCATGTTTTGTAATAGGATGAGTATTGTCCCGTAATATTCAAAGTGAAAACAAATTCATATCAGCCATAAAAAATCCAAAATCCTACTATACTTAAGAAAAAAATAAGACTCCTTTTACCGTCAACTGACAAAAATCCACTTTATGGGAAACTCTAACAAAAATGAGAAATCTGACGACTCCCGATCCATATTAGCAAATTGCAGTAATATCTTGTAATATTATTTAAGTTCACTAGTAAGTCTCAAGTATCAGTTAGATACTTGATGTTTTCCCGACAGTAGCAGAACAGTATCTTTTAGAGAGTTGGAACGCGAATTAAATGTTATTGCAGTCATAAAACGTTTCACGCCAATGATTGCGATGAAGGAAACAACCATAGTCTAACTGTAGATCTAACTGTACGTAGTTTAATACAAAATCCATCTGTCGTTAGTGATTACTACATTGTTTTTACAGACTGCTGAAGTCGATAAACATTTTTTATGAGTCTCACAGTAAAAATCTCGAGATGCTTTTAGTTTACAATGAGGCCCCATTTCAGTTTGGTTTGGCATTATAAACAATTGGTGCAAACGATTAAAAGAACGAATACTGTGTGTGTTTTACACCGGTAAACTTTGTTGGGAGCTAAACATTTCATTGAATTGAGTTAATATCACTCGAACCCTGGATGCAACTTTAACATTGGAATGGATAAATGTTGCCGGACCGATCCTGAGAAAGGATGAAGTGGGTTTGGGTTTAGTAGCTTATTTTTTGATGGGTCGAAACTGGACCCAGCTGTTCCTGATTGTTGCGCTTTAAATAACGATCATGGCTAATAAAAAGTGAAGTCAGTAACAAAGCTACACAGATCATCTCACTCACTCACATCCTTCGCCCATATTTGAGTTAAAATACGCACATAGGTGGCGTCCCAAACTCAATTGATAATTGATTGTCTAATTGACAAGAGTGTATTTATCGTCAAATTTACTATAAAGGAGGTTACATTTGTTCATTTAGCATTAATGGCATTCACCAACAATGCCTTATTATTATTAATACCCGACTGAATATGGAATAAGTAAAGGCATACCCATTGGTTTTTCAATTTCAAAATTACTGTGATGTAGTTTTTGGATAACTGATTTTTGGGGTTTTAAAGTATTTCTCGTATTTTTCTTAATTTGTCTGGAGACTAGGATGGATTAAACACTATACCTCTTAGTTTGTATGATAAAAGATAATGCGGTTAAAACATTAAGCTGCTATATGCTTAAAGTTGAATCATTGGCCATACACCTCTCCACGGAGAGGTGTGGTGTATAACAATAGATAAAACATCAGGAGTATGTTTAATGTTTAAATCTATAGATAAATGATTGATTATCCACCATCAACTTTAACTTGAGAAATCGCAATAGCATGAAACGTTCACTATCAGTTTTCAAAGTTAATAATGCATGGCTTTTGCATTTTACTTTTGCTTAGCCAGTTGGCCAATACAGCGTGAATTTCTGCATGTTTCTAATTAAGCTATGAGTTTACCTGAGGGTTATACTTATTTTATTTAGTTTTTTTTTATCATATTACTATTTGGTTTAATTACTACATTCGCAATATTAATATTTGTAGAAATCAGCAAAGGCAGTGACTGTACTGATAAGGTTTTTGTAAGACTGTTATTACATGTACGATCTTTTATATTACTTTTCCCAGTGACTGTCTATAAATGGCATCATTGGTTCCTGGGATTCTTCTTCTCCACTGTCGCGCTGTCTTCTTTTCTTATCGCCATTGCCGACACCGTCTGGTGATAGGTTATGTTTTCTCCTTCAATCTGTTAATTTTATTTCAAGGAATAATGACTTTACCCGAAGGTATCGTTGGCGAAGCTGAAGAAGTTGCTCATTTTAATCCCCCCATTATCCAAGATAATGTCACAGGATGGGGCCCTTGTGATATGCCAGAGCAGTTCAAGGATATGCCTTACCAGCCCTTTTCTAAGGGGGATAGGCTAGGAAAGGTAGGACAGTGCAGAATAAGACTAAGAACTTTGAAGGTGTAGCCTAGCCTATTTAATTTAAATATTAATCAGACCTGTTTGGAAATTCCAAAGTTTATTCTAGGGATAAGGCCTAGCCTATATATTCTTGTACCGTACGTAACTTATTCTAAATTTTGGGTTAGACTTTCGTAGGCCTACCTGTTGTCAAAAACCACCGAATGAAAATATTGATCGATATACAGTATGAAAATATCGACCGATAGACCTATACCAAATGAAACGATTGATATTTTCAGTTCGGTTGTTTTTGACAATAAGTTAGATACGGAAGTATCTACCCAAGAGAATAGCATGAATAACTTAACTTAGTAGAACAGACCCAATGTGAATAGGCCTAATAAACATAAACAAATGATGTAACTGGCTCGAAAGCAAACATTTAACATTGCTTTCAATGAACTGTCTACACCATATGCTAATGTTATTAGCCTTGTAGGCTAAGTTATGGGATTCGGGTCAGTTACGCCATTCATTTAATTGTTTATGATCCATACTGGTTTCTGTTCTAGGCCTAGTTTTCATGAGGAATAAGTTAGTTACCAGATAGCCTATGTTGTGAGTTTCAATGTCTCGTTTAGGCTCAGATTGACAAATTGTATTTCACATTTTGTAGTGCTTTTCTGTTTATAACTTGTGTCTGGTATGGTAAGTTAGTGTCATCTTTATCTCTGCCCCCTTAGCCTAGGTTAGATAGGCGTTAACTTAATTGTAAATATAGACCAATTGTTATTGTTGGTAAATAAATAAGCCTACCATTGATTAGGCCTAGGCCTATCTTAAAAACGTAGGCTATAAGTTTAAGAGGGGGCAGATTTAAGCTAAGTTAATGCCAATAACTGTTACAGTAAAAATTTTGGCGACGTACGGTAGTTTGAGCTGTTGATGCTTGGGTTGCAGTAAACTTAGTTGTTCGGTAGTGCAGTGGGCCTGTCAGCACCTTTAAATAATGTAGTATTAAAAATGCATTGACAAACAACAAAACTACAACCAAAAAACAAGTTTTATCAACAAAAGAATATTTTATAACCTACAATTTTTAAACACAGTAGCCTATTAACCCTCCGAGTGTCCATAGTTTAGGCCTTAATGTCCACCTATTTTTGGCGCATTTGCAAGGTTTTATTAAAACGGATCTGAGAAGCTTAAAACAATGTTAATTCTAATTTTCTATATACCATTTTGTTTGGAAAATCATGGGCTTCAATATTATATATAAAACATAAGGAACATTTTTTCCAAAAAAAAAATTTTAGGTAAAAAAAAATATAATTTTGAAAATTTTCAAAAAAAAAATAAGTTTGCGCTCAATGAAATTGTATAAATTATAGGCCTATAAATATTTCAAAATAGCCACTTTGTTCTAAATTTTATGAGGATTACAAATATATAATAATATAAGGAAGTAGATTTGCAAATAAATAAGTTATGGGCAAAAAACTGATTTCAGTACCTATATAGCGTTTAGCTAAGAATGCATAGCCTAACCATAGCTAGGAATCTGGCTGATAATTTACATCAATATCACTACCTACTTCTTCAGGATCATCAACCAGCACTTCAAAACCACTTAAATCTTCTTATAATGCACCACGTATATCACTACTTTTGATTTTTAACACTAAAAAAATGATAAACGTAATAAAACACATCAGTCATCGGTCCGGGGGAACCTAGCTGTTTACAAATACACGCACGTCAGCTGTCTGCTACAATATTTTCGGAACTAAAATGAATAGCGCTTAGAGACAGACCTCTGGAGAAAGCTTAGAATATTACGGAAAGAACGATACCTAACTCGATCCAGTTCAATCCGATTCAGTCAGTCATAGAGCCTTCGCCGTAAACGATGTTTGTGCGTCTTAAACTAGACGCGTGACCCTACACAAAGTGTGTTGTGCGTCGATTTTTTGACGCGTGACCCTCGGAGGGTTAATAAACAGTGAAACAGACTTACCAACAGGAGAGGTGGTGAAGTTCGAGCCGCTAACACTACTCTGCAACAGCGCTAACAGTAGCCCCAATCTCTCTATTGACTTTTTACATCATTGCTTGTCCAGTGCCTGGCATCTCTCAATTGTCTCGTAACGTCCTCTTTTTACAGATATCCGATTGGACTGGTGCTGCTTTTCAAGATAAAAAGTATACCAGTAAGTAATTTTAAACACAGTATCATAATATTAACTTTGTTTTTTTAACTAGGACTAACTTAACTTATTCACAGTTCCGCAAAGAACCTGTGATTTATTTTGGATTATGCTAATTTATAAAATATCAAATTTGTTCCGGGCCGATTTAAATATCGCACCGGCACCGGTATTGAACTTAATTTTACTATAACTTATTAGGGGACAATATAAAAAATAACAAAAAACATTATAAAGTTGAGTTTCTTTATTTTAACTCAGCCTATTTTTATTTTTGTTACGTATTACTAAAAATGGAAGAAACTATAAATTTTTCTAAGTTAACCATATGTGGTTCAATTATGTGAATACGTTTTAGTCATTGTTTGTATGGTTAATTCTTTTATAAAATATTTAATTTTGAAAAAGTCAGTGGCGGATCTCGAGGGGGTGGCGAGGGGTAGGATAAATGAAAAACATGCAATTCATAGTATATTCTTAATTGGTTTTCAAATTATATAGGCCCAAGTTATATTATTGTGTTTTGCAGACAAGTATATGTCCCAACATGGATCGTCCAACCAGTACTCTTACTACCATGAGGAAGACGAGAGCACTTTCCACCTGGTGGACACAACAAGGATCCAGAAACCTCCGTACCAACGTGGCCGATTCCGCCAGAACCAGCGGAACATGCGCGGGCGCGGTGGCCAGAGGGGCAAGTGAGTGATTCAAAGAAAAACTTCTAATCTTAGGAGTGGTTGACTTAAAATTGTGAAAAGTTGATTTCATGAGTTTTATAGAAATTTTACTAGTGTTGGTAATAAACTTACCGGTGTTTGGACCTTATAGTTGGGTTAGGCCTAGGGCCCTACTTATTAATCCTTAAGCTTACCAGCACATTCTGTCAAACTGATACTATAGGCTTCCAGTTTAGTAATAATTCTGGGATATGTATATTAATGAGGGTGTTTGAATACCGGTAATACTCTACAAAGGACAACACTAAGGGTGGACAAGAAACTAATAATCAATTGAGGTTGGTTGTTGTGGCCTAATCATTTTGGTTTTTTTACTGGATTTTTTCATTAAGTTGACTGTAAGTTATATGTTCAATTCGTTTGAAATGTAAATTTAATGGAAATAAGTAATTTAATCTTGAATATTTAAAATAATAGGCCTACTTAAATCATTAAAAAAAACTCAAATAGGCCTATCTTTGATTTCATCAGACATGTTTTGCTGCTCACCTAACCTAACCTATAATTTGCAGCTACAATGATCGGAAAGGCCAGCCCGGTATTCGCAACAAGTGGAACAAGCAGATGGGAATGCGCAATCAGAAGAACACGGCTCCGATCAAGAACCGAGATGCTTCGGTGACAGTGCGGCCGGACTGGGTGACCATCGAGGAGATGGACTTCCCACGACTGGCCAAGCTGTCTCTACCCAATGTTAAGGAGGGAGAGGACATGTGAGTGGTTTTCAGCATTCAATTTTAGTTTTTCCGTTCAGGTTCCATATTCTATAACAATTCTTTTTGATTTTGATTTTCAAGGAAAAAGTATGAGTACTCCAAGATAAAAAATGTGTTTGCCTGCCTAGTGTTTACTGTCCCAAACGTCAGTGTGAGAGGGATGAATACAATCACCGCCAAATCTTTAAACTGGTTAAAAATATCGTTTGACGCTTCATTAAGCTGTTTACTGTCGCTAGAGGCCACCTGTTATATGGTTAATTCTTTTTTTCAATTATATGCTGAGACTGAACAAAATTATTTACATTTCCTATTCGCACCATTGATTTTTGGAAAGATATAATAGTTATGTTTTTATATTTTTCATTTTTACCTTATAAGATCTATACAACCAATAAAATGATTCAATGACTTTTTTATACTGCAAACTTTTTTGGTGAATCGGTATTTTTTTTTATAACAGCATCATCATAATTTAATAATTATAGTAAGATATTTTAAAGAGTAAAAAGCTTTCAAGTATATTGAAAAATATGGTGATTTAAAAATTCCCCAGACCTTCAATGTTTGGTTCAGATCACCTAGTGATCACTAGTACCTAGTATTTTTCACTATGGCACTTAGTAGTCTACAAAGCACTGAAGGACTAAAGACTAAAGAGGTTTGAATAAATAGAGTTTCAGTTTTTTGCTGTAAAATAAGTTACTGGTACCTAAATTTTGTGGCTTGAAAAAAATTGTATAGGTACCTTTGTCATTAATATTTACTAAATTAACAATGACAAACCTATTAACATGGCACTGATACTTCTTCAGAGAATGTTGTGGATCGTTGGAGTACTACGACAAGGCTTACGACCGAGTGAACGTAAAGAGTGAGAAGCCTCTGCAGCGCATTGACCGCATCTTCCACACTGTGACCACTACTGACGACCCGGTCATCCGTAAACTATCCAAGACAGTCGGCAACGTCTACGCGACCGATGCTATTCTTGCAACGCTCATGTGCTGCACTCGCTCCAACTACTCTTGGGACATCGTCATCGAGAAGATCGGAGACAAGTTGTTCTTCGACAAGCGAGACAACACCGAGTTTGACTTGCTGACTGTCAACGAGACTTCAGTGGAGCCTCCGCAGGATGATTCCAACAGTCTCAACTCCCCTCGTAACTTGGCGCTGGAGGCGACGTTCATCAACCATAACTTCTCCCAGCAGGTTTTGAAAACTGTGAGTATCATTAGGTTTGGTATTGGTTTTGCAATAAATTGTGTTTGTAGAGAGTTTTTATTAGGATATTTTGATTTTCTGAATGATTAGATTTTTGTTCAATTACTAGAAAAACCACACTTTTAAAGATGAAAAAATAAAGTTTTTTAACATGCACATGAGCCCAGGTTTAAAGGGTTTTTTGTTTTGATAGCAGGCTTGAACAGGAAAGAGTAGGAAGGAACACAAAAAACTCTATACTTTCTTCTCTATAGAAAAAACTTGTGTTTTGTTTACAATGTGTTTCTTGTTATTTTAGTCATTTGAAACCTTGTTTAACCAAATAATACGATTTAATGATATACAATAACTCATCCCCTTGTTATATAACGTAACTACAACAGTAAAGCACAAATCAAGAAATTAATCCTAAAAAAAAATAGAAACATAATTTCGTTGACACTAGCGCCCAGTGTCACCGTATATGAACTAGACACGAAAAATGAGCTTCAAAATTTACAACGGGTTGAGAAGTCTACTTATGTTGGTTAGTCTATGATTAAATATATATATATTGTTAGTAAAATAGGTTTTACACTTGGAAAATTTTGTAAACTTGGTAAACTGAAAACATTGTTTTATGAGTGGTCATTGATTCGGAAGGTTAGCCTTCTTCATCATCTCTAAACTAGCCTAATGTGTTGTTTTATCAACCAATTATTTTGTAAATTAAATTCTGAAGTCATCTAGAATTTATAAAATAGTGCTAGTTACGTTTTTACAGAGATTTGGCTCATGATACAAGTTTAAATTAATTTCAGAGGATTTTAAATCACAAGGCAAAATTATACGCAATTTTCATAACCTGCAATATTTTTCTATTTTACTTTGTGAAATGAAGTAAGATAATACATTTAATGTATAATGACCATTACAAAAACCTTCAGTGTATTTTTAGGAAATAAGTTAAACTTAATTTTGTCTTTTGGCGTTTAAGTAAGTTGCTTCTAAATTTTCTACTGTCACCTGTTTTGCAGGGAGAGCCACGCTACAAGTTTGACGAGCCCAACCCGTTCATCTCAGAGGAGGAGGAGGGAGAAGTAGCCTCAGTGGCATACCGCTACCGCAAGTGGGACTTGGACAATGGTATTACTCTGGTGTCTCGCTGTGAACACGACGCAGTTCTGCCAACACCCAACGGCGAACTGCAGTTCCTCACCATCAAGGCTCTTAATGAGTGGGACTCTAAGGTAGATTGACTAATTGATTTGTATGCTGTCATTATTGTGAGTTTCTGATATTATGAGAGGCTAAGAATAGCCTTTCCAAAATAAAAAATAGCTTGCTCAGGATCTGGTTTGGGCAGACTTTGTCATAAAGATTTTTAACTGGTTTGCAGTGTTTACTAATAAGTACCCTATAGTTTTATGTGGCTTTTAGTTGCGTACTATAAAGCCCATTTCTGAAACGTGCAACCATTAATTAATAATTTATAAACCTCAAGTAACAAGGAGAACAAGAACCTATAACTAATTTATTTAATAAATTGTGTGATTGAAGCTTTACATTCTAAAACGTTCTGAAGAAGAGGTGAAATTTCAAAATTGAAAGTGTCATGCTATCCACTGCCTGGAACTCTTTCCGACTCACTCTAAGAGTAATAGTTGTGTATCCATTCTTTCTTCCTTTATGTATTCATAAGCTAGTTGCTTTCCAATACATTTTTGCTAATATAGCTTTTTTCAGCTTTCAGGAAGTGTGGAATGGCGTCAGAAGTTAGACACACAGCGAGGAGCTGTGTTGGCCAACGAGTTGCGTAACAACGCTTGCAAACTGGCCAAGTGGACTGTACAAGCTTTGCTGGCCGGGTCTGATCAAATCAAATTCGGGTAAGTCTTTATTTTATTGTCGTTCATCGTGAATACTACATATTGATTTCAATGAGAACCGTGTCAATAAAATAGGACAGTCATTGCCATTATTGTTTTGAAACAGGACATTTCTTCGTGTGTATTTTAAGTTGGATATAAATAATTGAGGTAAAGCACATAAAATCGACACCGAAGTTGATTAAAACAGAAAATGGTTTACAGGCATTCCATAAACGATACATCCTGTACAAACCAATATTATTGTCCTTTTGCAGGTATGTAAGCAGATCTCATGTCCGTGACTCTTCCAAGCATGTTATCCTTGGAACCCAGCAATACAAGCCTAATGAATTCGCGACTCAGATCAACCTGAATATGGACAATGCTTGGGGAATCCTCAGATGTATCATTGACATCTGCATGAAACAGAAGGACGGCAAATATTTGATCATGAAGGATCCGAATAAGGTATTGGCTTCTTGGTTTTTGGCATGATATTTTACACCTTTTACCTATTTTAATACTTTTAAAGTATTTTTTTTTTTATAATTTGATATTTCAGCAAGGGTTGGTTTTGTCCAGTAACTTCCATTTTCAAAGCCATCTAGGTAGGGTTAAAATTTCAAGTTAATTGTGATTTGAACTTTTTGTGTTCATAACTGCCTGGAACTCTTTCCTTTGGTAAGTTCTTTCTTCCTTAATGTATTCATTTAGAAAAAGGGAAGTTTGTTATTTGACGGCAACAATGCTTCGTCAGAAATATTAGTTGTTCGTTTACTGAACAAGTGTCAGAATAAGTAACACATTATGTAAGTATTTGTGTTACAAACTGCCTGTTACTCTTGCTTACTTTCCAAAGGAATAGCACAGCTTAAAGTTTTACCTTAAATAAACAACCAAGATTGCTGTACATTTTAAAGTGTTGTAATTAGGGGCTATAATTTTTAAGTTGGTTAATGTTTTATTTGTTTTAGCCAATGATCCGTCTGTATGACATTCCTGATAATACGTTTGAGTCGGAGAATGAAGACGCCGATGAAGAGGATGGCGGACTTTGAATGGTTTACATTGGTCAACTTAATTACTATCCGCTTTCCTGCATTTGTTAATCTGGTGTTTCATTAAAAATAAATAAGGAATACAGTAAGATTTGTGTTGATTACTTAGGTACCTAACCCCACAAAGTTCCTTCTTGATTGTGTGATTTATGTAATTTCTTAACCATACTCCCATTGTACGAAAACTGTTTACTTTCATGTTTGACTAGTGTTTAATCGAAAAAAAGATCCAAATAGTTGCTGTTTGAGTTAACTGATTTGATTTCCAGTTGTAGTTTAACCACTTTTCACCACACCCCGGGTTAACAAAAACCACCATGAATGATTCAAATCAATTGTTAAATGAGCTAGGCAACAAGAACTGTCTGCCAGAGACGGTCCATGAGTAGTTGGTTCGGAATGTAATGGAGCTGATGATTACATGGATCTCATACTGTGATACTGTGTAGATGAAGTTCAGATAACAACTATCTATTATTTTAATGAATTTATTTTGTATATTTTAAGAAAAGTTACAGCAATCAAAATAAATAAGAAGCTACTGTTTTAGGTCTCTATGGTGGGTATAGCCTTAAAATCTCTACCATCGAATAACTATTGCTAGTTTTCTTTCTTGTGATTAACACATTTTTACTGTAAAGTGTCTATGTCGTTGGGAAATAAAATGAAAACCCAAAATTAGGTTATAGAAACAACCTTGCCTTTATTTAATTTAAACCAGGTTTTACTATTGAGTTGTTATAAATATGGTACAGTAGGCTATTAGAATAAGTTGGTTTTTGGTTGTTAGTGAGTTTGTCTTCCTGAAGTTTTTTTTTCGATCAAAATTATATGTCTATAAATGCTAACTAGTTGATTGACTCAATTTTATAATTATGCAAGCATAGTCAAACAACTTGTATAGAAATAATGTGATGGTTTTCAAAGTCATCACAACTCTGGGATACTTCAAGACAACTTATCTTTTATGTACTTCACCAATACCTTTCTTCAGGATGTTGATTCAGTGATCCCAGAACCTACATTCACATATTGTTGAATCTAACCATAGCCTCAGCCTTCTATAATACATCTTACCAAAGCCAACAAGCCACTGCTTGAGCCAAGGCAACACTAAAGCCCATCAGATCCACAATCACAATAACAGCAGCGCCAGATTTATCACCAAGCAAGGCCCCAACCAAATCGCTGGTACAGCAACCCGTAGGAATTTGTACAAAAACAATGTTTTTAAAAACAAAGTTGATTTTTTCCCTAAATATATAAATAACTCTGCACGATCACGGTTGACGATTATGATGTCCCTGTGATCGCGGGGGATATTTGTTAACGCAGGACCGTTTTTGACCCTGTCAGCGCCCTAGGCACAACTAATAGTAGCCCCCTATTGCAATATATACATGGTGTCCACCAAGCGGGAAATTAAGGAATTATGCTTGAGATTTCTTAACCGGGAATTAAGCGTGATTTTTTTATTTCTACCTGGATATTTCACTTTACCGCGATCGCGCATGACAACAGTGGCGTTTCTCTCACCGCGGGAGATATGTCAACACGGGCGCGAGGGAAAATCAGAATTTTGCCGTGATCGCAGAAGGCGATAATGTCCACACGACAGCAGAAAACTGTCAGAATTTTGCCGCGATCGCGGAAGACGATGATAATGTCCACACGACCGCGGGAAAAGATAAGAATTTTGCCTCATTCACGGAAGGCAATGATGATCTCCACATGACCACGGGAGATAGTTACCATTTCACCGCAATCGTGGGAGACGATTACTATGTCCACACGACCGTGGAAGACATGATGTCTTCACGGCTGCGAGAGATTATCATAATTTTACCACGATCGCATAAGTCGATTATAATGTCCACAAGACCGCGGGAAAAGAGTTTTGCCTCATTTGCGGCAGACGACGATAATCCCCTCACGACCAATCACGGGAAATGTTCATATTACCGCGATCATAGAAGACAATAATTAATGATGTTTACACGAACACGACCGCGGGAAACAATCAGATTTTTGCCGCGATCGCGAATGACGATTACGATGTCAATACGGCCACGGGAGACGATAATTATGTATGCATGGCCGCGAGGGATTACCAGAAAGAAGAAAAAATACAATTGCCTCGTGCCCTAGGCACGTCCCTACCATGCCTATTCGGTAAATCGTCCCTGTGTTAACGATCCCTGATGGTAAGTTCCATCGGGGGCTGGTTGAGTTATTTTGCCTAGGGCCACCAGTATCCCTACCAGTATCCGACTCTAAAAACAGTCTCTCCAACGGTAATTAACAATAGGAAATCTTGAGGTAGGTACCAATGGCCAGCATATCTTGTTCTTAATTAGACAATGATAAACTAAGATGAAGCTTGCTGCCAAGTTTTCCGAGTCTTGTAAGGTTGCTGGTTGGTCACTGGCCAGCCGCATTTTGGTTCTATGGAGTATGTTTTATCGATGGTTCTATTCAGAGCCGTGTTTCCCTAACGGCGACCGCTGGGCTGGGAGTCTCAGCCTGGGGCCTCACGGTGTCTTTTTTTTGCTTCAAAATGTATTTTGTGGATAAAATATGTTTGGGAGTTTTTTTCCGAGCTTCTCTATATGTCACGTAGTTTCAAAATACTTCATAACTAACTGTGGCCTGAACGCGTGGTTTAATGCATTATAGATAAAAGTGTTATCGGGTCCAAACTATCTTTTATTTAACCAATTATGTTATTACGTAATTGAAATTATATGTCATAACCATTCTTCCTCTTCGAAGCAATCCTTGAACTAATTTGACCCTAATCCTGGCTTAGTGCTCTAAATTAATTCATACTTGGCTTAAAATACCTACTTTGTATGGTCGCAATTTCAAAGAAAGATATTAAAAGTATTAAAGTATTAAGATTAAGTATATTTGTCGCGCTTAGTTCCACAGCCACATTTAACATCTTTACTGTATTCGCTAGATGACTTTAAGGTATATAGGGCTACATGACAGTTTGTAAAACCTGCTAAAAAGAAACAATAATGTTGTTGACGTCTGTTGTTTTAATTTTCTGGTCTGCCTGCGGTCTGCACTGTATTTTGTTTTGTTTGTTTATGTGTTTGCGTTTGCGATTACGACGTGACGACTCCTATCAGCTCTCATCCAGTTAGTTGTTTGTTACGGTAATCTTATGAACAACACAATATTTTTGATATTATTAAACTGTTAAAATTACTCAACTTGCATTAATTTTTTATAGGTTTTTAAAGTCTATCGATGGTTTGACTCGACTCATGAATGTAACTTAGTACTAACTTAGGCTAGGCCTACTTTGGAGTCGGCCCAACTTAGACGTCCGTAAGATGGAGCATTTTTTCGGTTCATGTTGATCTCCGTGGTTTTTATTTATTTTCATGGTGGAAATAAATAGAAGTGCTCTGTCAAAGTGACCAGAGAGTAGATTTTTCGTTTTCTTTAATTTATTAAACAAATCATAGTAGTGTAAGGCATACTCAGAAGGGCTGTGTTTTGATTTTGGTTTCAATGTTTTTGTAGAGTAGGCCCACTGTTAAATTTGTGTGGTACTTCTACTAGGCCTTCCACATCTTAGGTTAAAACTTGAGAATGGGTTCGATGCTTGTTTTTATAGCCAAAGGACTATTTTAACGAACTCTAACTTAACTGTGTCTCATTTTATAACCAATTAAAGTTTTACAGGTCCAGTAACTTAGGTTACATTTTTCAAGATGGGTGACAGTGATGAAGATGAAGGCTCAGGAAGTAATTTTCAATTGACGGGCATACTCTTTGGTAATATTGATGAGACTGGGCAGCTAGAAGATGACATTCTTGACAGTGTATCGAAAAGACATTTAGCATCTTTAGCCAGGTTGGGGTTAAGCTCAATAATAAATGAACTCATCGACGATGCAGAACTTGGTGACAAATCAAGCCAAAGCAGCGAAAATACTGATTTCATCAAAAGTTCCGAGGATCAAAGTGCTAGCAGTGATCAGTTTTCTCAAGACTATGATGTTAAGTCGCCTTCAGCAATCGACTACTCAGACATAAACGAATTAGCAGAAGATTACATTATCAGTGATAGTGGTCTAAATCAAGTGAAAAAAGAAGAAGACAACACTGACTATGATGCTGACGATGAAGGTCCTATGAAAGACTTACAGCTTATGCCTCCTCCCCCAATGCCAGATGCAAATAAAGAGGGTTCTGAAGATTTATCAGAGGATGGGCAGTCTAAAAAGCTGGAAACTCCTTTGGCAGCAATGCTTCCATCCAAATATGCAAATGTTGATGTCCGAGAACTATTCCCTGACTTCCGTCATGATAAGGTATGATCACCGTAGTCTAGGTAAGTTAATATTATTATTAACGTCTAGGCTATCATTAAGTTTACTTTGACAAACATTGAGGGACATTAGGCCTAACTTAAACTTTAGCCTACTAAGCTTTTAAATACCTATTGCACAACTGGAACCAGACATCCTTGATCTTTGAGCGTTAACTTAACTTATTAGGTAACAAAGGTTGGTTAAAGAAACTAACCACATACATAGCTGGTCTTTGTTAATAGAGAGCCATATGCCTACAAGGTACTTTTTTCATTTCACTCTTTAAGGCCTGCCCAAACTGCTTCAGTACGCGGTCTGCGGTATGGGTATTATACTGCCTCGGCAGATGCACCGCTAGCTGTAGGCCTATGGTAGGGTGCCCACACTGGCACAGTTTGCTGTACGCAACACTTCAACAATTGATCAGTAGGCATGCTGCTGACAACTGTTCCACACCGAGAATATGCATACCGCTGAAATACCGCGCAGCAAAAATAGGGCATGCAGCATTTTTGCGGTACGGTAAGTTACAAGGGTAAATTGTACCACAACGGTTGCGTTATACCTCGCCAGTGTGGGGGCTCCCATTAACTTAACGTTGTTCTAAAATAGGCCTACCTGGCGGTTTAAAACCTGTACCGCATACCGCGCAGTTTGGGCGGGCCTTTATCTTTTCATTCGTCTTATCAATAACTTACCATTAAGTTAGGCATAAGGTATTGGTCTTTGACTTTATACATGTTTAACCAACCGAATCTTT